GGGGAATTCTGGGAATTGAAGTCCGGACATCTTCAAGTTGCCAAGGTTGAGAAACACTGGTATAGAGTTTCCTCCCTAAGCAGGGGGGTGGACTAGAAGACCTCCAAGGTCCCTTCCAACTCTGTTGTTCTATTTAACAGCTGAGACATTTGTTGAGCCACCGCTGCAGAAAGAAAAAAAACCATATATCCCAAAATAGGGTCGGCCACACCGTCCCCCCCGCCCCGATTTAGACCATCTGCGCGGGGTTTTCACCCACCCCACCTCCATCCACCGCTGGATGCCGCTGCGCCGCGCGCTCCCGCGAGGGTTGCCCCGACTGGGCGAGGCGGGGGCGGAGGCTCCTCCTTCTACCCCTCCTTCTCTCCCTTCCTCCCTCCCTTCCTTCCCCTCTCTCCATCCTCCTCCCCCTCCCCATCCCTGGCTGCCTGGCTCACTTGCGCGCTCTTCCCTCTTTCCCCTTCTGCCCAAGATGGCAACCGAGGGGCTGCAAGAGAAGGAGACCCTGGCCGTGCTGAAAACCGAGGCGGAGAGCCTGAAGGGCAAGCTGGAAGAGGAGCGGGCCAAGCTGCACGATGTGGAGTGTGAGTCGGGGCCGGGCTGCGCCCCGGGCATCGCCGGAGGGAGGGTGGCAGCCGGGCGCCGCTCCTGCCAGGCTCTTGCCACCCCAGCCGGGGGGCTGGCGGCAGCGGGGAAAGGAGTCCCTCCGTTGCAGCCCTGGGCAGGGAAGGGGCGCCGCCCCGGGCCATGCAACCCTCCCTCTCCAGGGGCGGCTGCCAGGCTGGCCGGCGTAAACAACGGGCAGCGCTGGGTGGAGGCGCCGGAGAGATGCCCGGCCAGTCCAAAGCAGCGGCAGGCCAAGGGGGCATTAGGGAGTGGGCATTCCTTGGGTCATGGGGGGGGGCGGCGGAGGAGAACCCCCTCCTCCTCTCCTGCCTGCTTTTTTTCTTTTTTGCACCTGCCCTTCTCTTCTTGCCAGCCAAATGGGCTCTGATGCCCTAGAAACATTCCAGCTGCCCCCATTTGCAACCTGGCGCCCGCCAGAAAGAAGCCTGGACCCTCCCCTCCCCTCCCCCAGGAACCCTGGGCAGTCAGGAAAGGTTGGTGGGGAGCGAACTAGGTTTGGACGAGGCTGGGCTGCAAGCTGCTATTTCTTGAGGGGACGGGGGGGGGGGTCGCTTTAGAATCAATGCCCCGGGGCATCCCCTGGATTGGGGAGTTTGCTATCTGGTTGGTTATTTGCCCTGAAGAGACTCAGATCTGCTGGTGCCCAGCAAAAAAAAACCCTTTGGTGTTAACAGTTGTCATGAATATGCTTGCATAATTTGAGGGTGGGCGGGCGGGAATCGCAACTTGTTTGAATGATAAGGTATTAAAAAATACAGGCGATCCAACTGCAGTGATTTTGGACAGCGGAATAGCTATGACACTTAGAAGGGGCCTTGGAGGTCTTCTAGTCCAACCCCCTGCTCAAGCCGGGAACCCTCTACCAGCGGTTCTCGACCTTTGCTTCCCCACGGGCCGCCTTTAAAGGCCTTTTGCGGCCACAGACCACCAAGACGTAACTCGGGATTTAAAGCACTCGGCAGGATCAAGCCTGTGATGACATCACGACTCGCCCTCCCACCGCCCTCCCCAGGGGTCCACGGACCACAGATTGAGAATCACGAATGCCCAATGACGGAGAACCTTTTTTGGCATTGAGTGCCAAAACTAGAATACAGTGCATGCGTGCGTGCGCAAGGGCCAGAGTGTTAGAAACCAGTTCAGCTGGCCAGCACACGCATGCCTGATTTTTGACCATTTTGGGAAGCATTTTCAGGCTGTTTTGAGGGCTGAGAAATGAGTCTGAAAATGCCCCCCAAATGGCCTGAAAACGCCCCCCAAAAAACCTGTTTTGCAGGCTGGTTTTCAGGCTATTTTTCCGACACTCCAGTGCGAAGACCAGCAGGCTGGTGTACATGCGCAAAAACCAGAAACCAGAAGAGC